ATCAATACAGTCAGTGCGCTGAGGTTAACTTAGCCTCTGCTGGAGGATTTCTTATCACACATCTACCCGCAAGTGCATCTGGATCTGCAGAAAGAGTTGACCTCCTCAGCCGATCATATTTACTACAACAACTTCAGCATATTTTCATGACATATTCAAATATTTGTACCTTCATACTGTAAAAAGTTTCATGTCCAGGTGTGAAAAATGGACTATATTAGAAAAGTATTATGACACAGGAAAGCCTGTTCTCAAGGTTCTTCTGCAGGTAAAAAGACCTTTCAATTTTTGTTTTCCTGTTATACTGCATCACAGACATCACACTGGTGCAGTTTTGCCATGGAAACTATGACACATCCCATAATACGGATGCTCACATAAAAAAGTAAAAAGAAAAAGAACTTTTTATTATTGAATGACCCAACAAGATTACATGTGACTCGATCTATGGTGCTTTATTATCAGTATATAACATTTGACACTTGAGATTTTAGAAAAATATGATTAGTTACTTTTTTACATGTACTCGCAGCTGCCTGGTTAAATAGGAACTGTTAGCATAAAGCTCGTAAAGTGAACAAGAATATTCAGATAGCAAACATGCAGATTACATGTTTCCCAAACTGGAGAACTTTGTCTTTAACAGATACATCATTCAAATGAATAAATAACGTGATGTACAGGGGCACATGGGCAAAATGCAGATTTTAGCTCATATAAATAGAAGTTCTTGTAATCTTGCTATATAAATACAATGCAAAAATTTCAATTTAATGGAATCTGGTCAAATAAAATTGACCTGATTTGTATACTTTCAGATTAAACCAAGCACATTTTCCTTAATGACTAATTATTTAAATGAATAAGTCTTTGATTTGATATATTTCAATTGGATTTTACTCAAAATTATCGCTTCACATTTAATTAGGGTGATAAATTGCTTTTTTGAGTGTAGGCAGAGGTGCACATCTGCATCAGGTGAGGAATGACCTTTAAAAAGCTATTGTGCAAAGCCCGTGCTGCTGCTCAAGCTTTCCTCTCTGCATTCTGAACTCATCTCAGCAGTGACAAGAGGAGCATCGTGACTCAGCACAGACCTCTGTGGTGAGGAGTAATGCAGAGAGCGTGTCAGAGGGCTGACTTATTGAAAATTCAAGAGTTTTTGATCAATGTCCCCGGCAGCTCTGCAGGCCTGTGGTCCACGGGTCCGCCTGTCCAGCCGTCCTTTATTTGGCTGCGATGCTGCTCTGTGCGTGCTGAGCTCTGTTGTCAGCAGATTCTGTTGTTTGTGGAGGTGCATACATAATTGACCCGCTCGCCTGCTCCTCCTCCGCTGCCCTCCCGAGCCCCCACCCTCTGAGATAAAGCTGTAAATGCTCAGCAGTATACAGCCCACCTTCCCTGCTCTGTTTGCTGGGACTC